CTATTTCGTTAACAAGTGGCACGCCCTGCGGCGCGCGGTGGTATCTCGAGGTGGATAACTTGGATGTTATGTTATGGACACAGCACTAACAACATATCCAAAATTCAGAACTACCCGACCTTTTGCACAGCAACCCCCTATTTTTTTGACATATTTACTGGACTATTTTAGCCAAACTTATGAACGTTGTTTTGTCAAATGTTTAGATGGTTTAGACGTAACTAATTTTAATTTTTTAATTTTTTAAACAACGCTCAAGATAATTATTGAACAATCAATTGAATGGAGAAATAAGATTCACATGCTCTTCATCGATTTCGAGAAGGCATTCGACAGTGCAAATCGAGGAATGTTATGGCAACTGCTAAGAAAGTATGGGATTCCAGAGAAGATAGTAAAAATAATGAGGACACTATATGGTGATTTTGTAATGAAAATTATACATGAAGGTGTGATATCTGAAGGTTTTGAATGCAATAGTGGAGTGAAGCAGGGGTGTTCATTGTCAGGCACGTTGTTTTTGATAGTAATAGACCATATAATGAAGGAGGGCACTAAAGGAAGAACGGGAATTACTTGGAGAGTTTTTGAGCAAATGGAAGATTTAGAGTTTGCAGATGATGTTTGTCTTATATCAGCAACAAGGCAGCAGTTACAGCAGAAAACAGAAAAACTTAGAGAAGAGGCCTTAAAAGCGGGACTTAAAATAAACAAAAGAAAGACAAAATACATGAAGGTAAATGATGAGGCTCGAGGTACCATTATTCTTGAGAACGAGGAAGTAGGAGACTTTTTGTATTTAGGTAGACAAGAATGGAGGAACAGAAAATGATGTAAAAAGAAGAATAAATAGAGCCTTTGGAGCATTCAGTGTTCTGAACAAAGTCTAGCGAACAAACAGTTTTTCACTTAAAAACAAACTAAGAATCTTCAATTCAAATGTAAAAAGTGTGTTGCTTTATGGGTGCGAAACTTTGAAGCTTAGCAGATCAATAACTAATAAGCTACGTACTATAGCTAATAACTAATAGCTATGTATCAGGGTTTTTTAGAGAGGAAGGTGAGAAAGGTGGCTCTTGTATATTGGTTAGCAAAGCGTTATTAGATAAAGCTAAAATTGTTTTGGATTATAAAAATCTTGCTATGAAATGCATTTTTGAATTTAGTGTAATAGAGATTACTCTGAAATGCTCAACCTATGTCATTGTATCCATTTACAGAGTTCCAGATAAACATAATTTTGAAATTTTGTGCACCCAATTAGAATTATTACTAGATTAGCAAGTGGGAAAAATTATGTAAAGCAGCATATTATCTTAGGTGGAGACTTGAATGTAAACACATTGGTAAATGACAAGTATTCAAAAATGTTAATTGATATAGTTGGTGCTTATGGCTTGCAGTTATGTTTCAATGTACCAACAAGAATAACTAAAAATTCGCAAACTTGTATTGATCATATAATAACAAATTGTTCTGTGGAAAATACCCAAATATTACAACCAGGGCTCTCTGATCATACTGCCCAACTTGTGGAAATAGCCATCTCTGAACAGATTATAAAGAAAAAAAACTAGCATTAGAATATTTTCAGAAAATAGTATAAGTAGTTTTTATAAGGATTTAAAAAATGAGCAATGGATAACTTTGTATAGCATAAACTATGAAGAAAATAACTATGATTTTGTAAACACTATATACAAGGAATTTTTACAAAAATTTTTGCTCCATTTTAATTCTAACTTTCCAAAGAAGCATGTCTCAGAAAATTTTAAACAAACTAAAAAAAGTGGCTTAGTGGTAAAATAATTAGTCTCAGCACAAAAAAGCATGAATAGTTTATGTTGATAAAAAATAATTTAGGAGACAAAAGATTAGAGAATCAATACAAAGATTGTAAACTTAATTTAAGAAAGGAGGTTGGTAAGGCAAAATTGGAATTTTACAATAAAACTATTCAAAATGCTGATAATATTTCTAAAGCTTCTTGGAGTGTTGTAAAACAGGAATTAGGAATATTAAATTCAAAACCCATCAATATTGAGGTTGACATAGGAAAAAATATTTTATTTCAACACTCGCAGGCAGCAGCTTTATTAAATAAACATTTTTTGAATGTTTCTGAAAGATTAGATCTTAAGCCGAATATAAGTGTTGCTTTGGCTTATTCAAAAAACTATTGTATTAATTTAAACGGTTCACTTTTCTTGGATCCTGTGATGCCAAATGAGATTTTATCCGCTATAAGAAAACTGAAAAATAAGAGATCATCTGGTTGGGATGATGTTCCTATGTTCTTAATTAAACGGGTAGGTGAAGTTTTAGCCCCCCATTTGGCCTCCATATTCAATCAGTGCTTAACGTTGGGGATATTCCTGGATCTGCTGAAGTACTCTATCATAAAGCCAATTAAGAAAAACAAAGATAAAAGTTTGGATGATTTTCGACCTATTTCATTGTTATCAGTTTTCTCAAATTTGCTAGAAAGAATAATTTTAAGCAGACTTCTACCTTATCTTGAAAAACATCAAATAATTAACAAAGAACAGTTTGGATTCAGCCAAAATCTTTCAACCGTAGATGCAGTTTCTAAATTTATCGATTTCATCATTAAGAATATGAATAGTAAAACCTCTTCTGCAGCAATCTTTTGAGACTAGTCAAAAGCGTTTGACACTATTGACAGAAATATATTGCTAGAAAAAATGGAAAATTATGGAATCAGAGGACAAGCGATTAACTTAATTAAATCCTATTTTGAAAAACGTTTTCAGATGGTGCGGATAATGACCAAAGTGGCTCATATGACTCCGATTGGGAAATTTGCCATACAGGATGTCCACAAGGATCGATATTAGGGCCGATTCTTTTTTTAATTTATGTCACAGACTTGCCCAAGAATGCTGATTCCACTTTTTCGAATACAATTCAGTATGCTGATGACACTACTGTAGTAGTCCAAGAAGGGAGTCAAGGTGGTCTTGATCTTCATATTGAAGACTGCATTTTTAACTTAAGCACCTGGTTTAAAGAAAATGGATTAAAATTAAATGAAAACAAAACTGAAATAATCAAATTCAAAACTCGTGAACCTTCAGAAAATTCAAGTAAAACCGAAAAAAATTTGTATAAATTTTAAGGAATAACCATAGATGCAAAATTAGAATTTTCTATACATATTGATACTTTAAGTAAAAAATTAAATTCTTCTTGTTTTGCTCTTAAAGTACAATCAAACTCAGTTAATAAAAACATTTTAAAAACTGTTTACTTTGCAACTATTCAATCTAGATTAACTTATGGGTTGGTAATATGGGGTAGTACTTCGTGTGAAAATTTTAATAGAATATTCCGAATTCAGAAAAGGGCCATTAGAATTTTGCATCATATTCCGGTTGATGAGCACTGTCAACAAATATTTCAAGAATCAAAATTATTAACTTTACCTTGTCTTTATATTTATGAATTATGTAAATACTTCATGAAAAATAGAATCCTTTCTGAAAATCACACGAATGCGTATAACACAAGACGTAATTTTATAATATATCCCTCGCACTCAACAGTAAAATTTGAAAAATCTCCTGATTATATGACTCGTAGGGTAATTAATAAATTCTTATTATTAGAAAAAGACACAGACTTTAACAATTGTTTTTTGAAGAAGGTCAGGCAATACTTGTATGACAATGCATTTTATACTTTGAATGACTTTTTTAACAGTAGTGCTAAGTTAGTCTAAGCTTTGAGATGACATTGTACTTACTCATCATTAATTTATGACTATTCTCTATGTACATATTTGTATATTTATGGAGAAATAAAACTCTTTCTTTCTTTCTTTCTTTCTACAAACATGTGTAAGTGCCTGAGAAGACTTTTGAGAATAAGATGGCCCGAAACGATTACAAATGAAGAGCTGTGGCTTCGCTCAAACCAAGAGCCAATTGAAGTACAGCTAAAAAGAAGAAAATGGAGATGGGTAGGGCACACCTTGCAGAAGGGAAATGGAGACGTGGCTAAGGAGGCATTGGAGTGGAACCCCCCTGGAAGCAGGAGAGTGGGAAGACCCAGAAACACTTGGAAGAGGACGTTGGTTGAGGAGTTGAAGTATAAAGGAAAAACCTGGGAAGGGATCAAGAGGGAAGCAATCAACAGGGTCCGGTGGAGAGGAACAGTTGAGGCCCTATGCTCCAGGAGGAGTCAACGGGATTAAGTCAAAGTAAGTCAAATTTAAATGTTTGATAATGCCTATCTATTATATTATTAAAGTGATACAATCAAATTTTATGTAATTTAACGTTTTATCTTCTGTATGCTCGAATCGAAACTAGAGTCATCTCTCATTCACGACTCGAGTTAGTACGAACTCGTACGGAGATTGCCGAAGAACATTTTTTGGCAGACAATTTCATTGTGAACAATATGATAAAAGAATTATTAATTTTTAATAAATTAAGGTTTTCTTTCTCTAGAGCAGAAGTCTAGAATCTTGGTAAAATGATTTGCTGACTGAGGGCACTGCAGGCAGCGCATTAATTCCATCCCCAATGGGTTAATAAAAAGTCGAAGACTAAGATGGGCAGGACATATCTATAGAAGACCAAGGGAGTCAAATTTAAGAGTGGTTTTAGACGCAGTTCCTGCAGGCAGGCGACCACTGGGCTGACCGAGAGTGTGGTGGTGGAACCTAGTCCAAAAAGACACGAGAAGAATGAATAATAAGGAAGAACTGATGGAGGACTGAGGAAGATAGCGAGGTAAAAGTTGTTCGAGGTAAAAGATTGTGAAGTTGTTGGCGAGGTAAAAAACCTGCTTAGGTTTGAGTGGCCAACTAGGTTAGGTAAGGTAGTTTTGTCTAACAAGACACAAATTGTTAATAAAACACAAACTCGACGGAACTAAATAATAAAGTTTTCTTCAGCTGAGCAAATTGTCTAATTCCATACGGATGAGAAATCTATGGGAGTATGTTTTATCTATGGTAAATTACACAGTGATACAACTTGTAACATTTTATTCTTAACACAAGATTTACAAGTCACAAAATATACAATTGATTATGTTTGAAATAGTACACAATAGACAACACCATGCTTAACTTACTATCATACTATCTGATTACACACTCGATCCAATGGCATCCATAAACAAATACAAAAATAACAATGTTATTACTGTGAATTAAAGTGAACAAAATAAAATCTGAAATACAACAATAGCTGGCTTAAAAGTTTTAAGAACTTAAAATAAGAAACAATTCTTGACTTAAGAATAAGTTGTGTAAATAAACCAAATGGTGTAAATAAGTATACTCTAAAAAAACAGCTGGGATATCCTCAAATTCCCAGTAAGGCCACTTTTACTATAGTCTGTTCACAACATTTAGGTGGTTTAAGGGGAAGGTTTCCTGGGTTCCCCCATCACTTATTTGAGCTTAATCTATTATACGAGTATCAGCTGTTCAGCTATCGGCTGTTGTTTCAAAGTTAAAGTGAGGTGGAGGGGATGGAATCGCTTGCCCGCAAACCGCCTAATTTTTGTGAAAGGAGTATACCCTACTGATTTGAATAAAAAAATAATAAAATGACAATAGTTCATTCATAACGGAACGTTATTTTTTTAGACTTTCAATAAATATGAACTATTATTTAAAACTATGCAAAACACAGCCGTGAATAAATAAATAAATACCATTAACATTGCTACACCAGTTTTCTTCTAGCTTTTTGTCAAAATAAATTCTAAAGCTCTTTTCTGTTATACTCATAATAAATAAGTCTGAATATTTATTGTGAAAAGCACTTTCTGTCATGATTTTAAATGAATAAATAATTATATTAACAATCTCAACAAATAAATACTATATTAAACAGTAAAATAATAAAAAAAAATCAACAGTAAAATTACGGTCGGATATAACAAATATCAAAAGAGGTTTAAACTTTAAACCCCTAAATGTGAATTTGTTCTTAATTTTAAACCTTGTATTCTGAGAAACGTAAACATGATAGAAAACATTTTGTAATTTATTTGCCTGTATAAAATTTTAAAACAAAGGCAATTATTGCCTACATATTACAGAAGACTCCCGATTATACACAGGAGGCAGACTATAAAGTTGCCAACCACTTACTTCACCAACCACCGATGTAGCACCAATTACAAATTGATCAGTTGATAAGTTACATCTTGTGTGTGTTTTAATCGTTGTTATTACTAGGCCTATAAATAGGCTATTCAATAATTTGTTTTGTAGTATTGTTAATGTAAAGGCATTAGTCCAATAATACCTTAACAAGTAGACATGTGTGAAAAAAGTTTTAAATGTATACTGAATTAAAAATATTTTATTACCTAAACCTCAAAGTCAAAATGAGTTTTTTCTGGGCATTTTAAGCTAGGCTTGCTTTATCGAAGATTTTGATTATTCACAACCACTCAGCCACTTATAATGTGGATATCAGGAGTCTCTTGTATCAACAAAAATTTTGGATAACAAACAGGCTGTCTAAATCTGTGAGTCAACTGTACAATGTGGTCTAAGAATATAGCGATAACAAAGTTGAACTTGCCAACTTTGAATAAGAATAAATCTCTTGGAGATACTAACAGAACAAAACTGTTATGTTGCGATTAATTAATGTCAAAACTAAGCCTTTATAATAAACAATATGACTTACAACATTACCAATCATAGGCCTACGGCAAATATTTATAAAAGATTTTAACTATCAGCTTGACTCACAGAATAAAAAAAAAACCTTATATTCAGTTAACCTTTTCACGGCAAAGATATAAAAGAAAATGAGGGTATAAATGGTCGCAAGTAAAGAACAGGTTACTACAGTAGACACCCTCTTAAGCGGTCTACCCTTTAAGGTTCGAAACATACTTTCTTTAAAGTAGATAGGTATTTTATTACCAAATCATCACAAAAACTTGTCTTGAAAAATTGGCAATGGAAGTCTACATGTGCTTCCAATCAATGTTGCATTATAGGAGTGTTACAATGCATCTGAAATGTTTTCAAGAGTTTCATAGGCAAACTAGTTGAATCAGTCAGATGACTATTTAGCCACTGCCCCAATCCAAGGTGGTCTGTTAGGGTGTTTACTGTGGTAATATTTTAATCAGTGTCAGATTCTTCACCTTCTTCTTCGTCTTCTAGGTCAGGCAGTGGGAATCGCAGAATGGCAGCTACTCCAGTCAACTGCATCAGCTCTAAAAGATTACCGAGGTCTCTTAGTATCTCACAGTAAGTAATCTCTGATCTTTTATTATTACCAGGGTCTCGGACCCAACAACCTCAGTTAACACAGAGGTCCCTTACATTTTGAGGTTAGAGGTTACAGTAATAAATTAGGAAGTCATGTACTTCTAATTTTAAAAGCATAAATTTACTTTTTAACTGAGTTTATCTGAGCTATGACACAATCATGTAGACATAAAAATCGAGTTGGGTTTATGTTATAGTAATAACAAAGATTGACAACAACTCATACCACTTCAATAGATTCCCGGCCTGTAGTAATCAAAGCTATTCCCACTAACATACTGTATGAACAGTTTTATGTTGTAATGAGTGGAAATGCTACTGCTATTGTTTACGTTCTGCAGACGGTATGAAGTATGCCTACTGTTGGCGGCCAAACTAGTACAGAGTGAGTTTCATTCTGGGTTATTGTGGAACATTCTATAATGATTATTACAAATATTACTATTTAAAAATCACAAAATACTTGCTATGTTTGCTTGACTTGAAGTTGAAATGTACGTTAATAATGTAGTTGTTGTCTTCTAAACGAATATATATATATGTATATATATATATATATTTCGGCATAAACAACCTCTTATAACCAGAGGGCTCAAGTAATCAAGAGTGTGCTATAACAACTACTGCAGTCTACTTTATCAGATCTAAAACATCAGGAAATCATAAACAATATCACTGTTAGAGAGTGATGATTATTACTGAAGAATAACAGGTACTACTGCAGTCAACTACATCAGCTCTGTAACATTAGGAAAACACCAAAATCATCACTTTGGTATGTTATCTTGAGTTAATGTTCAGTTTAGGTTTAGACATTATCTTGATATAATTACCAAACATATATTAGTTATATATTGAGAGATGGCCGACAAACTTGTACCTAATAACTTGAACATTCCAAAAAGTGATGTGTCAGTGTCGATACCAAAATTTATCGATTCTTGATACCACCCAGTGCTCGATTTGTAAAAAATGAGGTGCCGTGACTGTAACCCATTTAATGTGATTAGTCCTATTTATGACAATATTTTATCTTTCCAAAAGAGAGGTACCGGAACTCTGTTCCGCCGTGTTACCACGCAAATCAAGCACTGCCGATACCATTTTACTAAATTTTCTGAATGGATAGGTTTTACTCCACCAACCCCTGTCTACATTGCTGGCCAAAATTGATTCCAGGGCTATACGACCCACCTGTGCAGTAACCTTTGTACCTTCAGCAAGGAATGCAATACACTCAATAATACTGTAATAAATTACAGTACGATGAAAAACATTTGTCAGTGAAACATACACATTGAAATTATAAGCCCAACTTTGAGAAGATAACAAAGAATATACAAATTGGTATATTATATTTTATTCACAAAGTCCTTCCATACAGTATTTTTGAAGTAATTAAGTGTTTTTAAAGTAAAAAAATATATAGCAATAAAAAATTCAAACTAGCCAATTTAACTTCAAACCCTTATAAACACATTAAATAACTACCGTATCAAAGTTAAATGAGGATCTGACAAAAAAAAAGTGTTATGATAACTAGATGTGTGTAAGCCTGATATTTTCAGTCAAGCCAAACTGGAGGTAATATCGTGATCATCTCCCACGGCCGTAGGGACATCATTGTCGTCTTCTGGGATCACTGCAAAATCCTGAATATCGCTCAGGAGTAACACCATCATCATCTTCCTTGAACACGGCAAAGTCATGAATACCCCTCGCGGAAATGGAAAACTCATCATTGTCTTCCGCAATCGCGGCAATTCCGATCTCCCGCTGCTGTATAGATATCATCATCGACTCCAGTAGTCACGGTAATGTCATCGTCGTCTGGCGCAATTGCAGCTAAATCATGAAAACTTCCTGCAGCTATGTGGACATCGTCACCGACACCCGCAGTCACGGAAACAACATCGACTTCTTGTGCGATCGCAGGAAATTTGTAACACCTCCCGCGGCCGTGAAGACATCAGCAGCATCAGGTCTCACGGTCACAAAAATGTCATCGTCGTCTTGTGGGATCACAGCATTAGCAGTAATCTTCCGATTGCGCGATCTTCACAGAAGTGTCAGATATTGGAATAGACTTTTGACAATTGATTCTCAATACCAATACCAATATCCAAGTATCAGTGGTATCAAGAATCGATATACAGAATCGACACATTTCTATCCAAATAAGTTATAGTAACTTACGTTCGCCTGATACATGCATGCTGGAGAAGATTTTCACATCTCCACCACTATCTCTCACACTGTCCACTAGGTTTACGTAACGTTTCCGTTGCTGGATGTCTTGGGATCTGTCAAAAACAAGAGGTCATGTTTAGACACTACAATTTATTTATTTATTTATTATTGTTACTGTTGAATTTTTACAGATATTTGTGTCTTTGTTGTCTTTTTTTTTGTTATTAATTGCTCAAGAGACAATTAAGGACTCATAAAACTGCATGCTACTGATTCAAACTGACAAAACTGTATGGTAAATAAGAAACAATATTTTTAGTGCAGACAAACCATTTGTGGTTTTTGCACTTTTGTAACCTATGTATTGATAATTATTGTTTAAATAAATTTCTTGATTGATTGATTGATTGATTGACAAGGAGGTAATTTAGAACTCTGACCATGAAAGTGGTTTAATTTGGACAGTGAATAGCATACATTTTTATTAAAATGGTAAACATAATTACCAAAAAATGGTTCTTACCAACAAAAATGTTGTGTCCCCAAAAGTTATATATAATTTTCATTCAAATCGTTAATGTATATTGATATTCACACATGTCCTAGGTAGACATACTATAAAAATGTCTAAAACTTTAATTAAACTTAAAGCAAAGTGAAATATTACTTGCACTGAGTTTGCAGTCTAACCATGGGAATGGGGCTAGGTACCCCAAAAACATTTTTTTTATATTGTGCAAAAATGCCCAACATGATAAAAAAAATACCTGTAAATTGTTTCCCATCCAAATAGGCTTTAAAACAGAGGGTGTTTTTAAAAGAATGCCGCGATTTTAAATGGTAATTGCTTGGATACTATTCAAGGTAACTAAACGCTTTATATGTCAAATTGAAGCTAAAATAACTACGTTTTGTTTCCCGTGCAGCAAGGGAGGAAACTTTGACCTTGATATGTGTAAAACAGTTTCGGTGTAATAGGCCGCAATTGTGACTCATATGCCTGATGCCAGTCGCCAGTACGACGTTTACGGCGCAACAGAAGGCACAGATTGTAATCTGTAATTCGCAGGGGTTATATCCATTGCAAAATTAAACTAAATTTAAATCTACTTGATGATAAAGAAACTTGAAGCTGGTTTAGTGAGTTTTGTGGCACCAAAGTGTTTTGAAAAGACATTCACCCGGCTGGCTAAAATCAAACAATGACATAGTCGAAGAAATCCGACATTTCTGCATCATAAGCCCGAAAAAATTGATTGCACGACGAAGTCTTCAGTTTAAAAAACCTAAATTGGTCACTTTATGTTGTTATCTATAAATGATAAGAGTCTTTGTGCCGAAAAAGATTCAGTTAAGACATCAGATAAACATGCCGATCGCCCTAAGCATACAGACTTTGCCAGTTTTACGCTCATATAAGATTGATGAAAATCTGAATGTTATTAAATCATTCCGAATTGTATGAAAGAATGAGAAAAAACTTTATTCTTTTCCTTTCAATTTGACGTTTAAATCGTTTAATTATCTTGAATAGTCCCTGAGCAACGACCGTTTGAAATCCCGGCATTCTTTTAAAAAAACCCTGTACTAACAATTTAGTGTGTTAAATTTTTATTCACATACTTTTTTATTACTCAGACATGACAAGTTTCAACACAATATCTATAAACGGCTTCACATATTATATATATATTATATATATAATATGTGAAGCTGTTTTTTGTTAACGCAACTCCTCCCTTATTTGTGGACCAATTTTAACGTTTAAGGTGTCAAAAGATTCGTCTCAATATGTAGTTTTGCAATAAGGTTTTACAATTCCTACTCTTAAGGGCGTGAGACCCTCTCAAAGGTCGGGGTTTCCCCATAAGAAATACATAGAACAAATTTAAAACAAAAAACAGCTGTTTATAAAAAGAAACTCATTAGCTTTTTGGAAGTAAATATTAACGTTTGTAATATTCAGTAGGTTAAGACCAAGTTAAACAGTTAATCAGTTTTGTTGGAAGAACAGAAAATGCCTCAAGTTCAAAGAAGAAATATTGAAAACGGGAGGATGAGACAATTAATAATAAGATATCTTATGCGTATGAGGAGAGTAGAAAAAGATAGGCCTGGTCTAACAGATACCCATCCAGATACACAATCACTTGGTGAGATGAATAATATTTGCTAGCTCTGCTATGCAACTTACTTTGGAAGTGATAAAATATACGAAGCACATAGTGTTGTCACAGTGGTAAAGTAAACTTGCCTAATATCAGATGAAATGAATGCATGCAAGAAATGTTTACTTCTGGCACTGTCAGGTCGAGATATTTCAAAACATTTATACTCTAATAATGCCTTGACTATGATAAGTTCAAGTAGTAAGATTATACCAAATCCTGGCGGACCTTATGTTTTTATTAACTTTTGTATTACTCGCTCTACACCAATTGAGATAAACGCAAATGGATTCTTTACTTCTAGGTTATGTTGCCAGTTACTCGGACAAACTTATACAAAGTTTTTTGACTGAATTCACCAACACAATCCAGACATTTCAAGTCAAAAATAAGAAGTTTCAAAAACTTATTAGCTATTGAAAGTTTTTGTGGCAATATTAGACCAAACATAAGTGAAGGAATTCGTGTTTATGTATTCAACGATCAAGTAGTTACGGTCAAGTTTATTTTAATGATTCAGAAGAGGCAAATATATACGCTGTTCAAAAAGAGAAAATGAAAATTGCTATCCAAATCTTTTAGCTACAAGAGTTATCCTACCTATTTCGACAAAAGAATCCATACTTTCAAAACTTTTGGACAGGTATTAAGAGAAACTCCACTGAAAAACGTGAGAACGTTCTGATGCGGGGCATATACTGTGACTGACAGACAACACGTTAAAATACGTTAACCAACTTTCAATGGTGTTGCTGCATTAGCCTATTCAAAGCAGATTATGGCTGTCCAGTTGGTAACCCAGAGTTTGTGGGTAAAAAATGGAGCACATGAAATGGTTGGTATCACCCCACTTTTCAGGATTCTCTACGGAGAAAATTCATTTTATTAGGGGGATGTATCAAATCAAAGAAATAAAATTACCCAACATAAAATTACTTAACACAGGTTATCAGTAAGGCAACAGTTTTCTTCAATTCTCAATGCTGGAAAAACTTTGTAGCATCATGTTAACTCGAATCAAAGCAGATTGTTTAGCATTCATTAGAAGTTATAGTTATCAGTTAAAACTGAGAGCAGAAATAATGTGGGTGAACCTTGACGACGCAAATACAGATATTTAAAATTATTTTCTAACAAGTGTTTAAACAACTCTATAAGATTTAATTAGAATTACTCGAATTTAAGCATAACGTTTTCCTCGGTGGTATGCTTCATACTATGCGGGGCTCATTGAGCCGCACGGGTTCTCTAGTTATTTTATATTTATCATTTAACCCTCCCACTGGCACATAGTAAACTCTGTAATGGCAAGGAGATTTTTGCGATTTTGTAGATGTATTTTTTTAAATTTATATAAATTTAACCAATAGAGCAATCTTATTGACCCACATACTTGGTTTGAGTCTAATATGATTTAAAGAATTTGCAAATTTCAAAACTATAGATATTTATAAAAATAAAATTTAAAATGAAGTAGGAAAAAAGAAATAGTTTTTGAAAAGTTGAAAGGAACACTTTTTTATCAACAGAACCCCCTGTAAATTATTTCTTCGAGTTTTATTTTAAAAACATGTTTTGTAATTATTTACTTTCTTGTTTACTCTTTCTTACATAGATGTTATATTTTTTATTAATGTAATAAATCTTATAAAATGTTCATTATGGTATTCATATATCACACTATACAACCTCAATAACTACACTGGTGGCCCCGACGTGATTTAGAAACAACATTGAAGCAACATGAGAAGCAGCATTGAAGCATGAGGCTGGGAGTAGTAGTAGGGGTGGGGGCGAGCACCATGAGGGTATCATTCCATACGTTTCAAAAGTAGTGTGATTCTACGTCCTCAAAATTCATCAAGACAAATCAACATCATCCATGCAACCTTCAACTATCATCAGCCAAAACAAAACCCAGGTTAGTTTAGGTCTAAAAATGTCAGACACTGTTGAAAATGTCACTGATGTCAATTTATCAACCAATTCAAATCATCTTTCGAAATTAAATGTCAAAATTCCACAATTTTTTAGAATAAATGTCAAGGTCTGGCATAGGACCTTACGTCAAGTTGACACACAATTCTTTACTAAAAATATCACTCAAGGTCGAACAAAATACTATCACATTCTTGGAAACCTTGATATCGATGTTGCCGAATTGCTTTCCGACTTTCTAGAGAAACCACTTAGTCAAAGTCCTTATCAAGACCTTTGTAATCGCCTGATCACTGAATTCGAAGAATCAGAGAGCAGAAAATTCACTATAAGAATGAAATAGGAGGCAGTTAAGAATAAAATTTTAACCATATTATGATCGCTCTTTGCAATGAAAAAACTACCGTTGCATAAGTAGAAAGAAACATTCTATTTAAATAGGTAATAAAGGAAAAACTAAAAAAAAGACTAAAAAACCTTACCGAAACCAATGAAATTAGCAGCTGACCCATCACTAATTATTTTCGATAAAAGCTAACCTTTCCGCTAACCAAAAAGACTTTGTCGTGGGTCTACTGAACTAAATAAGAAACACAATGCTAGCCCATCCCACCTGAACAGATTGTCAGAGATGAGAAGAGTTTCAACAGCTTGGCTCTCATTGGCTGCCTCGACATGCTTGAGTCCGTAGAAAGCCTTGGCAGGCTCAGTTTGCAGCATGGTGTAGAAGTAATCCAGAGCTTTCACCTCACCCAAGGCCTTGGTGTCGGCCATCTTGGCTACCACTACTGGGTCCATTAGAACTTCTGAAATAAAATCAAAGCTTAAGTTTTTTAAGTTGATTGTCATTTGCAAACAACTTTTACAAAAATAAATATGGCACATTTCTACTATAATAGGGAAAATATTTCTGTAGATATCACGGCAAGCTTTAACTCCCTTTCATGGGTGTGTTTTCTGAAAGTTTCTTTTTAAATTTATTAAAGCTCAAAGACTGGTCTGTGAAATAGAAAGACAATTTGTTGTAGACTTGTATGCATTGATAATATGGCCCATTGTGGAACAAAGCTAATCTGTAGCTTGGAATTTCCAAAAGTTGTTTGTGTCTAGTTTCATAATTATGAGTTTTTTTACAGTTTTCAAATAAATAAAGGTTGTTTTTAATGAAAAGTACCAAGTGTAAAATATAAAGAGCAGGAAGGGTCCATCCAGTGACGTCATTTTTTAATGTTTTTGATCCATACAGTTTCTGTTCTAATATTCGTGGACGGTCCCATTGTTGTTACGTTCCGCGATCCAATGACTAACTAGAGCGCATAATATTCGCAACTTGCAACAATGCTGGTCAAAAGCTGATATGTTAAATACTATCACGAGTTTGTTATTGAGCTTCATTGTAGATATTTTCAATATTGATTGTTCTTCTGTATGGAAATGATTGATGATTAAATTAAGAATGAAGAGGGAAGGTCTATCAAAGAGAAATTGGCTTTAAAACTTCATTAAACGTGGCAAAACTCAAATGGAGATGATTTACATAGAAAACAAATAAGGTATATGTTTTTATACGTTAACTCGAGTTCTAAATTAATAGTTATATTTTGGCGTTCATTTGATTTAGACATATTTTTAATGTAATTCAGTATAAAAACTAAAAACTAACCTCTCCACACTCGCATGAATATACTCTGATCTCAAGAGCATTTAAAGTAAAGGCTATGGCATTTTTTGTCTCACAAACCCCTAGATTCAGCCTTGAAACTCCATTATACAGCAGAAAACCACATCATAGAGTATTTAGAGTGTATATTTGCACTTTTTACTAATTATTTTGCCGTTTTTATGTCAAAACTTTAACTTATTTCTAAGAGTAGATTCATCAGTGGAATTCTTAGTTTTGAATTAAAAAAAAACACGTTCTTAGGCCTAGCAAAAACTGTACGATGCAACTAATGGTAATTAATTAACATATTATTAAACATGTCAATTAATTGGTAGAGGAAACCCGATAAACTATAAAATATGATATTAACTATTACATAACATTAATTCTTATAAAATGGCCCAGGTTAAAAAAATTACAATACTGTAATTATACTATTTTTAAATGCAGAACTTTTATTTTGATTTTTTTTTACTGTGACAGTAATGAGAGTTTATTTAGGCCAACTATGACTTTCATTTTTCAATGACTTAAGACGACAGGGCCGTGCACAAAATATTGCGCAATAGCAACAATACGCACGAGCACGATAAAATGATATTATATAATTTGAATAAAAATAACATTTTCTTAGGCCTAGCACAAAACTATACATATTTTAGACTGTATTTTATAATATCAAGGAAATTGTACATATGTAGGCCTATGTTTATTTTTTAACGTCTCCAACAAATTTAACACCACGAGCAATGCTCGATCACCTGGTACTAATGAATAAATAATATAATAGGTAGAAAATATATTTTCTGCAAGTTTTAGCCAGGTTAGTTTGGGGTCAACTGTGGAGCCTAATAACTTTACTTCAGGCAGGTTGCCGGGAATGAGATTTCAAGCGAGACCGCAGGTCAAATGTTGGGTTTTGCTTCCATTTAGGAAGATGTTAAATGCTTATTGACAAAATATAATTAGAATCTAAATAAGAAACGGTAAGTAGAATGCAAGTTTATGTGTTAAAGCTCAAAGGTCAAGATCAAGGACTGGAGAGGACCCACTTCTCTTCTATCTAACACTGTGAGTATAGCAAGTAAGTTAACTAAAATGTGCTCTAGTTAGTGCTAATATTTCCCCCCTACCGCAGCAAAACTACAGACTAAGCAAATTTCCATTTACCTGGCTGGATTTCTACTAAAATATTCCCTGAAAATTGTCATATTGATTTCCTATTTAACACTATTCGTGCGGTCGACATGTTTGAACATAAAAGTTGCATTTATTTCAATGTTAAGCAATTGCGGGAATTCCCGTCATCAGCACCCAACGTGTTAAACAAACATTTATTTTAATGAGTACCTAGGATTGCTGCTACAGGGAAGGTATTGAGGTGTGTTTTTTATTGATATGTTGATAGCTTAGTATTAAATAAACAAAATTGCCAAATTTCATTAAAATATATCCATAAACAAGTAAAATACAACAGTTTATTTAATCTCCATCTCCAAGAAAAACATCGGAATTTTAAAGTTTTTTTTAATTATCTCCATAACTGTTAGGCATATAACAATGCTTCAATAAACAAAATTCTTTTTTTAAGCTCTACAAAATGGTCTGGAAAGAAATTGTAAAATTATATGTTTTCAGAGTCAAAAAAAGGAAAAACCAATTTTTAACCAAAAAATTAAATTTTTAACCCCATAAAACCCCCCATAAACCCCCGTTCCCATAGTCCGATAATGCTAGTTCGCGAACTCGTTCGAATAAACGTAGGTTTACATTTTTATAATAAATTTCATCAAAATCGGATCAATTTTGATTGAGTTATCGCGCTAACGGACACATATATACATATGAATTTGATGGAGGGTGTTTTTGGCCTCTAGAGACCTCAAAACGAAAAAGTAAATCGGTCCCGGGTCTAGGTCTTACCATGAGACCTACAGTAATAGCTTAATCCCCATGTGGGAAATTCGCTAAAAACGTAATTTATCTACAGTTGATTGTGGGGAATGCAATCAGATGCTTTGCTTAGATAGGCTAGTGTGAGAGCAGCCGAATGTCCCATTTCAAAAGCATCGACTATCTTAGTGACAAGTTTAAGAACTGCAAAAGTGGTCGTCCCACCCCTCCTAAAATATTTAGGCATATACACATATTCAAGGTAATTTTATTTCTTAGAAAAGATAATACGGTAGATTTGAAATTAAACATGATACTTGTATAGGTTAGTATAGGTATTAGATTAGTAAGTTTACCCGACTCCGATATTATTCATAAAGACAGGGACGGGTGGCGTCGTCCTGTAATCCAGCTACTAGGAGGTCACAAATTGTGGATATTTATAGGCATGCACTGTGGATGCGATACTCTCTGGTGTGGATTAACGACCGCACGAGTGAGTACTACGACTATCCGCAGTACAATCCTGATAATTAGACCAATTTGTTAATATAAAAAGGCAAAAATGTGGTTCGGATTTCACTATAAACTGTAGGTCCCTTAGTTGCCATTAGCTGTATGGGCTATTAATTAACAGCTGTGTCTAAGGAATATGTCACTAACAAGACTACAAGATCGCGCCACTCATCCTACACTCATCTCCATTCATACTTGGCTTAAAATACCTACTTTGTATGGTCGCCATTTCATCGAAAAGTATAAAAGTATAAAGTATTGAGTGTTGCTAAATAGGCAGTTTGTTTCAAAGTGTCCAACAAGCTGTGTCTTCAATATAGTAGAACTCACCCTATGCGCATGGGCGCCCGCAGGGTTTGGAGCAGGGGGGTGCAATATATAGGTCTAACAAACATTCGGGGGTCCGGGAAAATTTCTGAAAATATAGTGTTTTCAAACGTATATTTTTACACTATTTTGTAACACATAGAACTAACCAAAACAAAATAGTATATTGTGCATCAAGTCATCATTTATATGTTAAATTAATAAGCTATTTGAAGCTATTATGTATAATTTATATGGTCAAATCCACAAGCCAAACAATTACAAAGAAAAATAAAACTACAGTTGAATAAAGCCTTGATAACAGCCAAGAATGTTGATGTTTTGTTTTCTGAATAGTTTTGTTGGTGTAAAAGAATAACACATCTGTGAGTCAACTACTTATTTGATTTAAACATAAATTTAAAACATTTCTTAGACATGACCATTATGAACGTACTTTTATAAATTCCTTAAAACCCTAATTGATTACAGAACATTATGGGTATTAAATTGATTTCTTATTTTTTAGCCAGGGGGGTGCAAGTGCACCCCCTTGAATCCCCCTGTGGGTGCCCATGCCTATGCACCTGCCTAGTTGTTGTGAATTAATTGTGATCAGTTCACATTCACACAACCTTAGGCTGAAAACATAGTGGAGCAGCGAAACGGCGAGCAAGGCTAGAGTGTAACTAAGAGTTTTTTACCCCCAAAGGTAGCGGTGCTTCACATGCACATAGTTAGCAGCGACGACAGCGAGACCAGAAGCTAGATTACAGTACTTTTAAATATATGTTTATTTTGATCTATACGGATAATGAGGGTGAAAAGTTTTGATTTTGTAAATAAACCAATTAATGATGAAAATACTAAAATAGGTACAGTATAGCACATGGTGGCTATTCAACTGATTACATATTTAAAAAATACCCCCGCCGCAGCAAACCTGCAGACTAAGCGAATTTCCATTTGACTGATTGGATTTACACTGAAATGTCTACTTAAAAATATAACATTTATATTCCCGATTTAAATAGAATTAGTTTAACAAGTACTTAGGTTTGCTGCATCAGGGAGGGTTAAACTGTTTTTTTTTGTAAAATGTTAATAATTAGTAAGACATAAAAACATTTTCCAAATTTGATCAAAATATATTCATAAACAAGAAAACTACAACAGTTTACTTATTCTCCATAAGAATAACATGGGAATTTTTAATTTACAATTTTTTGGAATTTTCTCCGTAGCCATTAGGCGCATAATAACGCTTCAATATACTAAATTATTTGTTTTTTTAAGCTCTACAAAATGGTTTGGAAAGAAATTGCTAAATTTTATGTTTTTTGGGTCAAAAATGGGAAAACCCTATTTTTACCCCATAAAACCCCCCGTAAACCCCCGTTCCCATGATCCGATCATGCTGGATCGCGA